GTATATGCTGTCATATTTTCCTTTTTTGGGAATTGTAAGCAACATTATGGGGTATACTTGTGGTCTCCCTCTTTATACAGTATTCATTGTACAGCAAAGAACATGTTCACACTTGCCTCCGGTGTCCATATCTGGCTGCGATTTAAAGGCATCAATGGCACCCTGTCTTCCATCTTGTCAGATAAGCAATATACAGTACTGTACAGTAGGGCTGCAGCTAATGATTATTTTCATAGTTACCCGATTGTTTTTTCAGCTAATCGATTGGTTGTATATATATATTAAAAAAATATCTCCCCAACCAACTAATCGGTGATGAGAATAGTTGCCAACTATTCTCCTCGATTTTATTATCGATTTAGGCCCCATTCACACGTATCGACATACCTTTTGCAGCGGCCGGGATAGCGCGACTTTCGGGCGACGATCCAGCGACGGTAGCGCGACCTTCAACGTAGGGCTCCATAGAAAAAAGTAAAATCGCGCAAAATCCGCCGAAAAAAGGGTCCGGTAGCAGCGACGAGAAGCTAAGACAGCTCCGTTGAATATCATTGGCCGGCGACTTCTTGCGATATCGCACGGCAAAAATGTGCGATATCACGGTGGAAATCGCGCGATATATCGCTACGTGTGAATGGGGCCTTAGTCGATTAGTTTTGTCAACCTTACTGTACAGCGTCTACATTTATCATGTGATTTTACATCTGTGCTTGAGTCAGTTTTCTATATTTCTGTTGGAATTCTGATTGCATGTTGACATATTGGGTGTTTTGTTTGGCAGATCCCTTCGTTAACATTCATAGGGTTTACGTAGGGTTAAAAGTATGCACATGGAAATCATCTATAGCAATAACCACCATTCTTTATTTTCCTCGGAAGCATTTGGTTAATTGATGCAATGTTTGACTTGCATGCATGTTTTGGCCATCACAACCATGATGTAAATAACACCCCCTCTGTATATAGTTTCTGTGTCAAGGTTCGTCTACTATTTTAAAGAAAGTGGAGAATGTTGGTTGGTTAAACTTGCCATGAAATTGGCCGGGGTGGGGGAAATTCTGTTGAACATCTGCTTAGCATACAGAGCTTTATAACCGATGGTGTTGTTTTCGGCCTTCTAGTGACATTTATTGTAATGCTCTTTGTTTTCTCTTTACAGGAGGCGAGACTTCAGCATGCAAACCGTCATCTGTGCGGCTTGCACCCTCATTTTCATTCCATGCTGCCGGTCTACAGATGGCTGGACAAATGCCGCACTCTCATCAGCAGTACAGTGACCGGCGTCCACAAAACCTAAATGACCAACAAGTACCTGCCTTACCTTTCAATGACCAGATTCAGCAACCGTTGCCTAACCAGGTGAGATAGCTGTGTGTAAATACATTTCCTGTGCTATAGTGTCTACTCTCCTTCTGTATAAATAATAATACTTATCCTGGTGTGTTTACTTTGTGAATTGAGATTATAGTCTTCTGCCTATGTAGATACTAGGCCCCACACCCTGTCAAGTCGCAGAGTCTCAGCTGCCCACTGAAGTTCTGGTATTAAGGTTAAATGACAGGGTGGGGACATGTTTAACATCAGAATAGTTGAGACTTAGCCCCCCCGTTCACATATGGGTGTATCGTGAACACGCATCCGATGTGCACAACAGTGTGCACAAAGTTTACCCCCCATCATTTTCATCTGGTAATCCTGCCAGTACTGCTGCCCAGGTTGACAACCTAACTCCTCCTTCTGTATTTTTGGAGAAGCAGTATTGTCATGGGACTTAAGAACACCTCCCTCTCCCCTCTTCTCAATAACATGGGGGTAGGTGTCTTATAGTTAACAAGGGGGTGCTCTGTAGTTTGTGGAGGTGAATTGGGCAGGGTGGATAACACTGCCTGAGATTTCAGTGCAGCACAGGAAGTTGCTAGTTGTCTGAATTTCTGGCTACAGGTTTTTTTTTGGGGGGGGGGAGGGGTTTCACTTCTTATGCAAATAAATCAAAACACCTTTAATTTTAGTTATATATTTAACAGCACATAGGAATCAGTTAAGAGAAGTTTGTGTGTTATTGTATACTTCCAGTATTGCTGTTAAACTCTAAACATTTTATGCCCGGTGGTCAGCTTTACTTATACTTGTTTATTATATAATTCATGATATAATATGTTATTTAAATATACTAATTTATGTCACTCTATTATATATTATATTACTTGATCAGTTGTTACTTTATCATTTCATGTCTTCATTGATTGCTCTGCAGAGGTGGAGTTTAATGACATGGTAGTCAAGATTTTTCATCTTTTGTAAAACGCTCTTGGTAACGCATCGTTAGCTCTTATCTGTCTTTGCTTCATTCTGACTTGCATTGCTCTGTCCATAACTCATAGATAGTTGGGTCTCTTAAATCAGAAGCCAGATAACCTTTCGCTGTGTTCTGTGGAAGTGGGAGCAAAATGATACGGGTACAGTGCAGATAGTACGCTGGTCATTATTCAGCTGAGCTGATCTTTAAACCGTTTCCTGTTAGGAAATTCATATTAAAATATTTCTGAAATGTTTCTAATGTTGCTGAAGTATTTGAGTTTTTAGTTAATTTCCATGAGTAAAATGTTATCCTTGCATTATTGTTGATATACGGCACAAATTTCAGCCGATTCAGCAGGAATTTGACCAAAATTCAAACCGTGGGTGGCCCTGCAAGCAACACCAGGATCAAAAAGTCGGCTTGACATAAACTTAGGTGGAGACTTATCGGCCGAATAGCAACAGCATCCAATAAGATGCAGTCACTGGTTCGTAGTGCTAATGCACTCATGCAGCCACGGGCGACTCGGCCGCTATATACAGTAGCGGGCAGTGGAGAATTCTCCAGGAATTAATTTGATTTTCTCTCATTTGACCCATGTGCTGATCACGAGACTATCGAGCTGTGTATGGTAAGCTTAATGCTGATGTGTATTTATATTTAACAAAGCGCTTTTGTCTTTTTGCAGCGACGGATGCCCCAAACTTTTCGTGAACCGACTACAGCACCTTTAAGGAAACTGTCAGTTGACTTGATCAAAACATACAAACATATTAATGAGGTGAGGAAATCTATCACTTTGTGGAGGAAATGCAAAGCCCCCTTTCTGTCACATGAGAGGTTGCCATGTATCTCGTTCATCCTTCCCCCTGGGGCCACAATGTGTTTGCATATTTTCTTTAAAGTCTGATGAGGCAGATTTCTTACCTGATGGTCCCCAGACTGTCCTTTTTAAGGTGTCAAATAATACAGCACATTTATTCACCGCAGAAAGGACTTAATTTAAAGTAGGCTGTAAATGATCAGATGGGAATTGGAGGCATATTAGTTTGTGCGGGGGTCAGAGTTGTGGGACAGTTTTTGGATGAATGGCCTCCATCTGGCTGTGGGTCAGTTGAGTGCAGCTCATGTCTTTGACTGGAGTTCTGGCAAACCTTTCAAGCCGAGCTGCATCATCTTTAGCCATGTCTACATTATTCCAGTCCCCATCTTGCCGATCCAGGGCCAAACACGTTTGCTTTTACAGGTTGTCACGTGTCTCAAGGAGGTATTGTCAGGTCAGCGGGGTCAGAGTGCTCTTAGAATGTTCTATGTGCAACTGGACAGTGTGAAAGGAGAGGCTCAGTGAAGGAGTACAGACCAGAGCTCGGAGACTCTCATCCTCTCACATTTGATCCTGGCCATACTCCCATATTGCCATTCAGCTAAATCGTGAACTGAAGTGCCCAGCAATCAGGTTTAGGAAATAGAATATAAAATGCTCAATATGGTTTTGTCACCAGTCATTCTGATTTTTCTGTATTTTCTCCATCAGGTCTACTATGCAAAAAAGAAACGGCGGCATCAGCAAGGACAAGGGGACGATTCCAGTCACAAGAAGGAGAGAAAGGTATACAATGAAGGCTACGATGACGACAACTACGACTACATCGTTAAGAATGGCGAAAAGTGGATGGATCGCTATGAGATAGATTCCTTAATTGGGAAAGGTTCCTTTGGCCAGGTAACCACCATTCAGGATTCTTTGTGTGTGTATTTTGTTTTAGGTATCTTTAATCTACAAATCTTCCAAAAAGTGATTGTTCATATGTAGGATTCGGTCACCTATTGAAAGAGGACTTTGAAATTGAGATCAGGTGCTTTATGTAAGCGAACAATGAATATGGAATCTACTACTGGCACCGAGGGTAACATGAGTTTAGTGTGATGATTACACTGGCTTCTGGGCCTCTTACAGAATCACCCGCTATAGGGTTTTGTTACTTAGATCTTCCACTGACTGTGATCCAGTTTTTTCTGTCTTGCAGAGGTTCCAGCAACTTGTAACTCTTAAGTGCCTTTCTGCACTTTTTGAAGCTGGCCACACATTCCCCTGCTTCAATGGCTACTTGTGTTATCTATTCTATAGAACCTGCTAGTGGGCAGGTCACTCCAGAGATGTGTAGCTCCGTAGAGAAGTTCTGTATCCAGCTACAGAAGCAATTCAGTAGCCACCCAGAGAAAATAAACACATTTGTAGCGGTTTCAAATCACTGCTTCAAAGTGTGACACGGTCCTTTAAGTTCCCTTTCCTCTCCTGTCATTCTTTGTGCATCTCCTTCCATTCTTTCGTCATTCTTTTTTTTTGGCAAAGAGATCATGTGTAACTGGTTGGTGGGAGAGGTTTCCTGTGCAAGTTCATGCGGCAGGGTGGCAAAACACACCGACACATATAGTGATGGTCATGCTTGAGAACCTACAGCTTTACTGCTTGGTATATCTGGTTCTCCTTTGTCCAGGTCGCGGGATAGTTAGTGGTAGTTGGTCACATTCAACTGGCCTTGTTTTGCAGTGTTAAGGATGTCTTATGGCTTCTCCGGGCCACTTTTTCCAGTTCTAATGATTGTCAATGACATACCCCAGCATTTATATCCACTCGGGTAGCATTTGCATCCTGGCAATTTGTTAGGAGTTCACATCTTCAGCCATTTGAATGGAAGGATTAACACATTAGCAGGCTTCCTGAGGTTATGTGACTTGATCAAGGTGGTTCCACAACTTTCACACCTCTCATCCTGTTCTTAGACAATCGGTATCCACAGATTCCAAGTTGATTAGATTAGGGTTACTTTGCTACCTGTGTGGATATAAATGCTGGGGTATGTTTCTGACCGGTTCTGTTTCTGGCAGAAAAAGTGGCTTGGATAAACTATGAAACATCTTCAAAAGTACAGATCAAGTCCAGTTGAAGATGACTGACTACTACTATCTACTGCTTTGTATGTATTTGTACCGAGGTTACTGCTGACCTATTCTGCACATCTGCTGTTCTCTGTGTGGTGCTTCACCAGTGTCTGGGTCTAGTAAAGACTTTTACTGTTCCTTTAATATTGTATCACTGAAATAAAAAAAATTTGAGACCAATAGCATAATAAAGTGCATCTATTGCTAAAACGTTTTTGTTTTTAAGTTGTTTTTTGTTTCCAGTGAGGTGAATTGCCTTAGTTGTCATTGGAAGATTTCCTCTCACTTCCTGGTTTGGTGACTACTGTATACATTTGATATTTCTATAATTTTCTGGCCCAATGGTCAACTGGACAAATAGAGAGAGTCATTCTCCCCAGTTGGGACACAGAGGGAAATAAAAACCTGATGGGGTGTATCCAAAATGAAAATAAACACAAAAGTTTTAGTTATAGTTACTCTTTATCTTTTACATATATTAATAAAATGTGTTATAATTAATAGTCCTATATCATATTGTTGAAAAATTTGAGTGTAATAAGATTGAGACGACATATACAAATCTAATGAAACAGTGCCCTCTGCAGGCTGAATGGTAAAACTCATTTGTTCCCACTTTTTGGAATAGTTATTTACTTCAACAGACATTCCAGGCGGTCCCCGGGTTACAAACAAGATAGGGACTTTAGGTTTGTACTTAAAGGAGAACTTTTCACTCACCTCATAGTTCTAGCTGACCTGTGACAATGAGACTGTCACTGGTCGGCTCAGTAGATCGGAAAGTAAAAGAACACATACCGGCGTTCGCTCACTTCTCGATCCTGTCACGGCTCTCTGCTGTGACAGGGGAGGGGCTGGATTCCCCCCTCCCCGCTCCGATCCTCCAGCGCTGACTGGCGGAACGGGAGCAGGCGGGTACAGCTGGCTCTGCCTCTAGATAGACAGAACCAACTGTCACTCACACAGCTGGGCGGATCCAGACAGAATTGTCGGGATCCTCTTCAGCTGCGGCGTCTCAGTATACCGCGAGCTGTAGCTCACGGTATACTGAGCTTTGGGGTGACGGGAGGACGCTGGATTGTGTCCTCCCGTTACCCTAAGGAGAACTATGGGGCAAAGCCCTAACCCCATAGTTCTCCTTAAGTTGAATTTGTATGCAAGTCAGAACAGGTACATTTTTTAAGTGTAAGTCCAGCCAAAAAAACATTTTGTAGTTTTGGATAGCTGAGGAAAGGGTCACGGTTCTTTTGCTGTTTGTTCCTGTTGTTCAGAAGATTAAAATATAATTAAAAAATGTTTTTTTTTTTGTCTTTTTAATGTAATTTTTTTTAAACCTTTTTATTTTTTTTGTATTTGAATGCTGGCTATTGCATCTGCCTGCTGTCAATCAGCAGAGGAGGGGCCTGAAGCAGAATGGTCTCTATCAGGTCCCCCCATGCTGATTGACAGCAGACAGTGGGCGGGTACAATAGCCAGCTTGCTATTGGCTATTTTACAATATTCAATAGCAGGCTTGGGTATGGCTCCCAGCCTGCAATGAAGATTAGGCAGAGGAACCGCGGCCGGACCAGGAGACCGGAGGATCGTCCGGAGCGGGGAAGCCGACGGAACGGCTGAAGAGGAAGCCGGCACATCAGCGGAGGTACGTGGGGCATCGGGCGGTATGCAGCGTTCTGTGTCCCCGCTGCCTCCTCCAACACAGGCGCGGAGAGCAGCGGGGATTTGAAAGGACACAGGCCGCTGCAGCCACAGTTCTCCTAAATGTACCGGCGGCTGCCGGTACATTTAGGAGAACTGTGGACCCCGTTCGTAAGTACGGATTGTCCGTAAGTCGGACGTCCGTAACCCGGGGACTGCCTATTGTTTATAACTTTCCTAGATATTTCTGAAGTTCCTAGTATGTTTTGCACTGGTCACCCTAATGGTAGTCGAGGTTATATAACGTGTGTATGCTTTTTTTAGGTTGTAAAGGCATATGATCGTGTGGAGCAGGAGTGGGTGGCAATTAAAATCATAAAGAACAAGAAAGCTTTCCTAAATCAAGCCCAGATTGAAGTACGACTTCTAGAGCTGATGAACAAACATGACACGGAGATGAAATACTATATCGGTAAGGCTGCTATCCTTCAAAACTCTGATGGTCTTTCGTAACTTATGACAGCTTGTTTGGTTTGAAATGCAGAAAGCGCGTGTCAGAACATATTTTAGCCTTTCTCAATTGTCTCAATTTTTCGCCTTTACTGGCGTCTCGTTGCGGTCATCCCTCTTTTCGTTTCATTCTGCCTCTACCTACCAATCTCCTTCTGTTCCATTGTTTTCCTTTTATCCTATTCTTATCTTTGTTCCCTGCCTTGTATGCCCTTATCATCCAGTTCCCTTTTTTTATGTCCCTTTTTTCATTTCTGCATCTTTGTGATCCTTGACACTTCTGTTTCCTTTTAGATTCAAAGTAGTAGTTATTTTTTTTTACCATTTAGTACATGTAAACAATGTAAAGTAAGTTCCATTTATTAATAAGAGTGATTCCTGTTAATACCTTCTTACATTCCCCCCTATCAGAGGTGAAAAAAAGTTTTGACTGGTATTCTACAGATGAATAAGGACACACAGGTTTGTGTCCTACTGTATAAGTGACATTTCTTAAAGCTGAACTTTGGCCTTACCTTTTTTCCCCCACCCTTGTAGCAAGTCCACTCCTTTGTTGAAACTCTCATGTCCCTGCAGACTTGCATCTCCACAATATAACATGTCCCTGCAGACTTGCATCTCCACAATATAACATGTCCCTGCAGACTTGCATCTCCGCAATATAACACGTCCCTGCAGACTTGTTCCTCCACAATATAACACGTCCCTGCAGACTTGTTCCTCCACAATATAACACGTCCCTGCAGACTTGCATCTCCACAATAATATGTCCCTGCAGACTTGCATCTCCACAATATAACATTGTCCCTGCAGACTTGCATCTCCGCAATATAACACGTCCCTGCAGACTTGTTCCTCCACAATATAACACGTCCCTGCAGACTTGTTCCTCCACAATATAACACGTCCCTGCAGACTTGCATCTCCACAATAATAACATGTCCCTGCAGACTTGCATCTCCACAATATAACATTGTCCCTGCAGACTTGCATCTCCACAATACTTGCATCTCCACAATATAACATGTCCCTGCAGACTTGCATCTCCACAATATAACATGTCCCTGCAGACTTGCATCTCCGCAATATAACACGTCCCTGCAGACTTGTTCCTCCACAATATAACACGTCCCTGCAGACTTGTTCCTCCACAATATAACACGTCCCTGCAGACTTGCATCTCCACAATAATATGTCCCTGCAGACTTGCATCTCCACAATATAACATTGTCCCTGCAGACTTGCATCTCCGCAATATAACACGTCCCTGCAGACTTGTTCCTCCACAATATAACACGTCCCTGCAGACTTGTTCCACCACAATATAACACGTCCCTGCAGACTTGCATCTCCACAATATAACACGTCCCTGCAGACTTGCATCTCCACAATATAACATGGTCCCTGCAGACTTGCATCTCCGCAATATAACATTGTCCCTGCAGACTTGCATCTCCGCAATAAAACACGTCCCTGCAGACTTGCATCTCCGCAATATAACATGTCCCTGCAGACTTGCATCTCCGCAATATAACACGTCCCTGCAGACTTGCATCTCCACAATATAACATGTCCCTGCAGACTTGCATCTCCACAATATAACATTGTCCCTGCAGACTTGTTCCTCCACAATATAACATTGTCCCTGCAGACTTGCATCTCCACAATATAACACGTCCCTGCAGACTTGCATCTTCCATGTATCAGGAAGCCGGGCGCCGTGTAATGACAGGGCGCTCGGCTTCCTGATTGGCCAGGAAGCCAGCTTCATGTTTCCTCGTCGCCTCATGACGAGAGAGCATGGAGCCGGCTTCCTGGCCAATCAGGAAGCCGAGCGCCCTGTCATTACATGGCGCCCGGCTTCCATGATTGGCCAGTAAGCCTGCTCCATGCTTTCTTGTCACATAGTGACGAGAAGCTTGGAGACGGCTTCCTTGCTAATCGGCAAGCCGGGTGGCGAGTCTTTACACGCTGCTCGGCTTCCCGGCTAATCGGGGAGCCAGGTGGCGAGTCATTACATGCCGCCTGGCTTCCTGAATGGGACTTCGGGTACTAGGTATTCGGTATCGGCGAGTACCGGGAAAAAAATATCGGTACCGAAATACCGGTATCGGTGCATCCCTATCTAGAACCCATGTACATAGCTTGACTGAACAACTTTGATGGTCATCAATCCCTTTTCCTCCTAATCTGTACTGTTGTTGGCCTGCTTCTCACAGCTATTCGCTTTCTCTTCCATCATTTCATTTCTTTCCAAGTGTTATATGAAAGAACACATTCCTGACATCCCTTTAGATGTGCACACTTCCTGGGTGCTGCCTACTACAGCAGTGCAATCTGCTTATCAGCAAATTGCACATCTAAAATCTGCAGCACCCAGTGGTTAGCAAGGAGGATCATACACGTCTAAAGGGATGCTGGAGATGTATTCTTTCATATACTGCTCGGGCCGGGTGCTGTGATGTTTACAGGACTAGCCTGACCCCTTCCACCAAACTCAGAGCAAAGACCAGCAGACTGACCCAGTATAAGAGGTATTTCTTGAAAACTGATTTGAACGAAACATTTTAATTGCATGTTGATTAGGGGGGTAGTTGGAACAAGGGGGGGTATTATATGTGTACATCACATTTCAGGTTTATAATGTTTTCCCATGCCACATGATGCATCAAGTCCAGCACAGTAAAATTAACTTTTCTTTTTCCAGTGCATTTAAAGCGCCATTTTATGTTCAGAAACCACCTCTGCCTCGTGTTTGAAATGCTCTCCTACAACCTGTACGACTTGCTACGCAACACCAACTTTCGTGGTGTTTCTCTCAACCTGACACGAAAGTTTGCACAGCAGATGTGCACTGCACTGCTATTCCTGGCAACTCCAGAACTGAGTATCATTCACTGTGACCTAAAGCCTGAAAATATCCTGCTTTGTAATCCCAAGCGAAGCGCCATTAAGATTGTCGACTTTGGAAGCTCCTGCCAACTAGGGCAAAGGGTAAGCGAGTGCTTGTTGTTATTTATATGCTGCCTGCTGCTGCTTGAAATGCATCTCATAGTTTTGAATAGAGTAGGGAAGGGTTAGAGCCCATTGTCACAGAGATTAATAATGATTGGAAATCCAAAATGTTAGCAACTCTTGTTCTTTTAAATTAATATATATTTTTTTAATTTCTAGTAATATGATATCTTATAGGGTTATATTTATATCTCAATCAATGATGTTCTGCTTGTGTTAAAGACAGATTTAGTCCATTGTTTTAAACATGACCCAAACATTTATATTTACCACTACCAGAGAACTATAGGCTGTGTTTTTCCCGATAGTTCTCTTAAGGGTCACGGGGGAACATATACTAACCTCCTCCCGTGACCCAAAGCTCAGTATATCGCGAGCTACAGCTCGCGGTATACTGAGACCGCCGCAGCCGGGAGAGATCTCGACAATGCTGTCGAGAGCCACCCAGCTGCTTGAGTGAGAGCTGGCTCTACCTATCTAGAGGCAGAGCCAGCTGTGCTTACCCACTCCCTCGTCCGTTCCTCCACTCGGCGCTGGAGGATCGGAGCGGGGAGGGCGGGAATACCGGCGGGGAGCCAAGAGTGATAGTCACCCCTCTCTGCAGGGAGACGATCGGGAAGTGAGCGAGCGACGGTATGCATTCGCTCACTTCCCGATCTTTTGAGCCGACATGTGACCGTTTTATAGTCACAGGTCGGCTTGAACTATGAGGTTGAGTGATTTTCACTCACCTCATAGTTCTCCTTTAAGTATACAGTGCAGGGTTCACATAGTATTCGCCCACAACCCACCGCCAGGAGCGGGCCGGGTTAAGGACCCTTACGGGCCGGATGTGGCCCGCGGGCCGTAGTTTGAAGACCCCTGTTATAAGTGGTCAGCAGTGGATGGTACTGGGGGCGCATACTACGTTTTACCATTTTTTAATTCCCCCGAATTTTAAAACTAAAGAAAAAAAATGTAATGCCCCGTTTACACTGCCTTGTGCAGCATATTGTTTTTTCTCTAGCATTACAGGAGCTCTGAATGTAAAGTGTGCAGCAAACAGGTAGTTAGAAGCGTGTGTCTGTATTGTTGTGGAAAGTCTAATCTATAAACTGAATCCTTTCTTTATCCACAGATATACCAATATATTCAGTCTCGCTTCTATCGGTCTCCAGAGGTTTTACTGGGAATGCCTTATGACCTTGCGATTGACATGTGGTCCCTTGGGTGCATTTTAGTAGAAATGCATACTGGAGAGCCCCTCTTTAGTGGAGCCAATGAAGTAAGAGCAAAATTATTACTAAGCAGTCAGTCTGCATCAAGGGTCTTCTTTTCAAGAGTGATGTACAGGGGAAATGTTATATTGATCAATGGGTCGGGTCTGTGGATAGTTTTCCAGTCTGTTATGAGCTGCTGTTTTAACAAAACCTACAAGTACTGCCTTTGGGAAGGCTTGTCACAAGGTTTTGGGAATTTCTGCACATTCAGTAAAAGGAGCATTAGTGAGGCTGGGTACTTGTTGGACGAGAAGATTTGGCTTACAGACTGTGTTACAATTAATCCTAAAGGTGTAGTTGAGGTCTGGGCCCCCTTGTAGGTCAGTATACCGCGAGCAACAGTTCGCGGTATACTGAGCCTAGGGTGACGGGAGGATGCTAGTTTGTGTCCTCCCGTTACCCTAAGGAGAACTATGGGGGAAGGCCTTAACCCCATAGTTCTCCTTTAAGCTTTTGTTTTTTTACATCATGTCTTTATGGACCAAGCTTTTTGCACATGGGCAGAGTTATGCCAAAACCAGTGGCATCTTATTTAGATGACTCCTCAAAAGCTTCCCTGGGTGTTGCATCAAGCATGTTTAGGTTGGCATTCCCATGACTGGCCCAAAACATACTAGTGGGAATATAAATCCCAAGTGGCCTGGATTTAAAATTCTCCAGGGAGAGCTAGAGTGCCTACACACACATTGATTGCACAGCACAAGGCAGCAATTTCCATGAGGATATGAAGAGGAAAGCTAACAAATGTAAGTTCCTGTTTTCATATACATCAGCTGCATATGACTGCTTCATGTGCACTCGGTGTACAGGTGAAACTCGAATAATTAGAATATCGTGCAAAGTTAATTTATTTCACTAATGCAACTTAAAAGGTGAAACTAATATATGAGATAGACTCATTACATGCAAAGCAAGATAGTTCAAGCCGTGATTTGTCATCATTGTGATGATTATGGCTTACAGTTCATGAAAACCCCAAGAACCCCAAATCCACAATCTCAGAAAAGTAGATTATTACATACAATCAATAAAACAAGGATTGTACATAGAACAATATCGGACCTCTGAAAAGTACAAGCATGCATATGTACTCAGTACTTGGTTTGGGCCCCTTTTGCAGCACTTACTGCAATTACTTTTGCACGATATTCTAATTATTCGAGTTTCACCTGTACATTGCTGGCATATGATTTTTTAAAAGTACCTCTGCAAAGGTGGAAATGGGCTTTAAAGTGCTCTTGGGGAGCCCCGATATTCAGTGTGTCCTTTTATGTAAACAGCAGCTAACGTTCCTGTAGGTGAATTTAGCCCCACTCTTCTTTTTACTATTGGTCCTTACATGTGATGGTGAGTGCCTTGTAGACTTAACTTGTTCATACAGTTTTAAATGATTCATTGTTGTGAATTTCATAACAGGTCGACCAGATGAATAAAATAGTGGAAGTTTTGGGAATCCCACCTGCTCACATTCTCGACCAAGCACCAAAAGCCAGGAAGTTCTTTGAGAAGACGCCAGATGGCACTTGGAACTTAAAGAAGACCAAAGACGGGAAAAAGGTACAGCAATCCAGTCCTTGTGACATTAATTGTTCACATGTGTTATCTACGAACTTTGAATGTTGTTAGAAGTTGTTGAGAAAGAAAGTCCTGTGTACAGCAGTTCCTGTGTGTGCCAGAAAGTGTAATCCACTTCTTGTACAGTGCAAGGGAAGCTATAAAGTGCATTCTCATCGTGGGCAGTGTCTCTTCTGAAACATTAACCATTGATGATGTAGTGACTAGGGATGCACCGATACCGAGTATTTGGGCAAGAACTCGTGCTCCGATACCTTTCCCGATACTGGAACTTCCGGTCAGAGGGAGATTTCCTCTGACCAGCAGTGCCGCGAGGGAACATGGAGCCGGGAAGCTGGCTCCATGCTGTTTGGCCGGCTTGATGCTGATTGACCGGGAAGCCAGCTTCCCAACCAATCAGTGTCGAGCCGGGCAAACAAATCTGATAATATGGCGACACAACTCCCACACTGCAGACAAATCATTCCCCTCACATAGATCCTTAGCAGCAGTCATTACCGTACCAGTCCCTCAGCCAGCTGGGCAGATCCGGGAGAGCTTGGAGAGCATTGTCTGCCCAGCTGGCCGAGGGACTGGTACGGTAATGGCTACTGCTAAGGATCTATGTTAGGGGAATGAGGTGTCTGCAGGGTGGGAGTCGTGTCACCATATTGTCAGATCTGTTTGGCAGGCCTCGATGTCGATTGGCTGGTGGGTAATGGCACGCCGCCTGTTTCCCCGGGAAGCCGGCTCTATGCTAGGCATCGGTACTCTGTATCGGCGAGTACCGAAATATAAATATCGGAACTCGTACTCGATACCGAAAAAACGGTATCGGTGCATCCCTAGTAGTGACATTGGCAGTACAGACAGACCAGTGAAATATCTAATCCACACGGTTTTATATTTCAGCAAGAGAGCAATCAGGGTTTGGATGAGGCTAGTGTAGTCAGCCATGCCACTCAATAATACAGTGGAGCAATCCCCAACTTTAGGCATTGTCAGAGATTTTAGTGCCAGCCAATTATATTACTGAAGAGGGGAGTGACATAGACACGCTGCCACAGATCCTTCTCTGTGGTGGGCAGTAGCAGTACAGAGGGGCTTTTAATGTTATTGCTGGCAGGCATCCACGTTCACTCATAGACATGAGGTCATTACTTGATGCAGCTGGTGGGTGGGTCCATGGGCTTCTTTGGACTTGATTTACTGATACTGTGATCTGTTTCCTTCATAGGAGTACAAACCACCAGGAACACGGAAACTTCATAACATACTTGGAGTGGAAACTGGAGGTCCGGGAGGTCGGCGGGCAGGGGAATCGGGTCACACTGTAGCGGACTACTTGAAGTTTAAAGACCTCATTTTAAGGATGCTAGATTATGATCCCAAAACGCGGATCCAGCCGTACTATGCTCTCCAACATAGTTTCTTCAAGAAAACTGCTGACGAAGGTACAAATACAAGTAACAGTGTATCTACAAGTCCAGCTATGGAGCAGTCTCAATCATCGGGAACCACCTCAAGCACATCCTCTAGCTCAGGTATGATGGGCAGTGTTCCGCAGAGCTGTCAGTCTTTGTTATAGCAAAACATCAGTGTTGAATGAAGCATTGTTTTACGGTTTAACTATCTGGTGAAGATACTGACCATGGTCAAAGCAGGGTCAACCTGCACACCCATACTTATGGTATGCACTCTGATAAAAATGTTTGTGTTCTTTTTTTTTTTTTAGTGCTTAGTGCATGCCTGAACAGAGTGAAGTAAGAGCTTGCAGTTGCCTAGTTGTCCAAAATTAAAGGTTTGCAAGCAAATATATAAAAGTACTCTTTAGACTTGCAGTGGGAGTGCATGTTGAGGAAGTTGTTAAGAGGAAAACTTCCAGATTAGATGGAATTTGGGGTTGGTATTAGGGATGCACCGAAATTTCGGTCGCCAAAACACATCGGCCTGAAATGGCACTGTTGTTTTTCTCCTCCTCCTTGCTGAGTGCTGCTCTGTGTCCCCTCCAAGGAGAGAAACGTTCGGCCTCCTGTGACAGATCAGGCTGGATAGCAGTGTTGGGGCGGAGACGCCTGTCACAGGAGGCCGAGCCGGCGTTGAGGGGGAGGAGTCAGCTGTCAAAATAGACAGAGTTCTCGTTCCCACACCACCCACTCAGCCTCCTGTGACAGCTGTCGGGAAGGAGAGCGGGTACAAGCAGTCGGTGATCGCTGAGTGTTTGTACAAATTTGAGGACAGAGTATGGTTATTATATCCTCCATTATGAATGAATGGGAAGTGATCTACATCTCCTCCTGTTCATTCATGATTGTGGTTATAGTAAACATACTCTGTCCTCATGTTATAAATGAACAGAAATACTCAGTATAGAGGATTCCTGTTCATCTTTTACAGGGGCTGCAGAAAAAGAGAGTGAGGACTCTGTGTCCTTAATCTCTTTCTCTATTTTAAAAGGTGAAATATCAGGGGGTCTGTTTTATACCTCTTAAATTTCCTTAAAGCCCCGACCAGCAAAATTAAAAAAAATAAAATATCTATTACAAAAATAAACCTGACAATTGTTTTATTTTCAGTTTCAAAATTTCATTTCACTGCACGTCTAGTTGGTATCACAAATGTGGTGACGCTGTCTAGTTGTCCATATAGCAGACAGGAGACATTGGCAAACAATCTGTAACGTTGTAGGCTCTTAAAATTGTCCTCTTCCGTTTACTTCTTACCTATTAGGTGGCTCATCTGGGACAAGTAATAGTGGAAGAGCAAGGTCTGATCCAACCCATCAACACAGACACAGTGGAGGACACTTTACTGCTGCTGTTCAAGCTATGGACTGTGAGACACACAGTCCTCAGGTAAGCTGCTATCATTGTCTGACATTAAATAAAGAACCTACATGTCAGCAAGGGAGCCATGTATGGGATTTTATGGCTAAATATTGGATAAATAGAAAATGTAAGATCGCCCATCTAATGGCTTGTGTTTGAAATGGTTCTCGACTACCTTTCATGGGAAAGGTTTTTTCTTTTCTTTTCTTGTTACAAGTTTAATTAATGTAACATTTAATGTAATGTACTTCCTTGCACTTATGTTGCAAATCAGGCTGGACTTTCTGAAAAGAAAGCTTAGCACTCTCTGCATTCCTGTTGGCAGCCTTTGTAAAATGACTAATCCCGATGGTCCTCTCTCTGCTAGAGAAGTGGGAGATGGTCCCTCTAAAGGGGCGTGGGGGGGGGGAGGTAGAAGTGTTCCTCTAATCTCTGCTGCCAGCTGTGACTATGGAGTGGGCAGAGTTACCACCATAGGCTGCCCACTCCCGTCCTGCCTAGGACTACAAAACACCTCTCCATACCATAAGTTCTGTGTTCTGTAGCCTGCACAAGAGAACTGTGCAGGACTATTAATACTGCTTGTGGTTTTTATTGCAGCCCAAGCAGAGTGCATTGAACGTTAGAGCTCAGTGTATTTCTGGCAGGATCTACGGGTATTTTTCTGTACCTGCAGTGTTTTAAAGACAAAAAATGGGAAAATGTACATGTACTGGAAAGACATATTGAATGCTTGACAGTTTAATATCTCAAATTTGTATCGGAAAGTTTGCATTATAACCAAGATAAATTTGCACTACCCCCCTTATACTGCCACTATGGCCCTGGAGCTCAAGCACAGATATCTTGCAGCTGAACTGATTTTTTTTGTCTACCTCTTCAGCATTTGATAAAAATTAAAATACCGGTTTTATTTGGTTTGCCCTTAAAGTAGAACTGTGGCCAGGCTATAGGCATTCAAATATTTACATTCGTACACTGTACGTCGTCAGTCACGAAGGGGTTAAGCACTAAATTAAGCTTTAAAACAAGCCCTCACTGACCTCTGCAGCTGCGGGCACTATGGAGTAGTTCAATTATACAAAAATTAGCAGTAGTGTCATCCAAGTCTTAAAGCGGACCTTTACACTCAAAAATCAAATTCTACCAATGCATCCCTCTATGTATGATGATTAATAATAACATAGACATGTCAGGTGTAAAATGCTGCGATTGTGAAATACTTACACTTGCAGAGCATTCACTTCCTGCTTTGAAAAGGTCAAATGACTTCAGTTTCCCAACGCAATGCACACTGGGATTGCCTTGTCATCAGCAGAGCATTGCTGGGTAATCTCATGAGTTGGTTGTGGTCACATGTCCTATTCACATGTGCCAGATTTTCAGGAAGTAAAGGGAGATCTAGTAATCTGCCCTTAGTAGACATGGCCACTGCCAGAAGAATGGGGAAGAAAAGAGAAATAAGGAATGCAAAGAATACAAAGCCGGCAATTATCTAGAAGTGTGTGTTTGTAGATTGTCATTACTAAACATCTCTATAGGTGTGTCTGTGTTATTTGAAAGATCTGGGTAAAGGTCCGCTTTATCACTCTGCTCTCTTCCTGAGCACCTGCCGTCTGTTTCCTTTATCCCAAAGTGGGAGGAGGGCTAGTATTCTGTTTTTATTGCCATTGATAGCAACATCTAGGGCTTAATATTTTATATGTCCCCAGTGGACAAAATCTAAAAACTCAGGATGCAAAACCACTTGCCAACTAGATCTCGTAAAAGGTTTTTGATTTATGTGGCGTTCTCCTTCCACCAGGCTCTGCTTCTCCTTTAACACGCTTTGCACTGCATTAGGGCTCAATTGTATACCAGAAAAAGTGTTTGGTGTAAAAAGCAGTATTATTTGTTTTATTTGCTTTATGAGAATGAATGTTTTCCTCATTACAGGTTCGACAACCGTTTCCTCCACCCGTGGGTTGGACTGTCACTGAAGCCCCCACACAGGTCACCATTGAAACCCACCCAGTCCAAGAGACGACATTTCACGTTCCCCCTTCACAAAACGTATCGCATCATCATGGGAATAGTTCTCACCACCTTCATCACCACCATCACCACCACCACCATGGACAGCAATCGCTGGGTAGCCGGACGAGGCCCAGGGTCTACAACTCGCCATCCAACAGCTCCTCCACCCAAGATTCTATGGAGGTCGGTCATAGCCACCACTCCATGACATCCTTGTCTTCCTCAACTACTTCTTCCTCGACCTCTTCTTCGTCTACTGGCAACCAAGGCAACCAGGCCTACCAAAACCGCCCCATGGCTGCTAACACCTTGGACTTCGGACAGAATGGAACTATGGACGTTAATTTAACAGTCTATTCAAATCCTCGCCAAGAGACTGGCATCACCAGCCATCCGACGTTCCCATATTCTACAAACACGGGCCCTGCCCACTATGTAACTGAGGGACATCTGACAATGAGGCAAGGCATTGATAGAGAAGAATCTCCCATGACAGGAGTTTGTGTTCAGCAAAGTCCTGTTGCAAGCTCGTGACTAAGTTCAGTTTAGGGTTTTGTTTCTTGTGTGTTTTTTTTTTTTCTCTCTTTATTTTGACCTATTTTTATTTTTTCTTTATTTTTAAGAAGTGGTGTTTTTTTTTTGGGGCGTTTTTTTTTGTTTTCCAAAAAAAAACGAAAACAAGAAAAAAAAAACAAACAAACAAAAAAAAACAAAGTGCAAAAGCTGCTCTGATCAGAAGGAGATAAACACACTTAACCGCTACAACAGGGAAAAGCTGACTATTTTTTTAAACTTGAAATGATTGCAAAGGGACAATGAAGTTGAAACTATTTTTATTTTTTTAAAGAGCTGTATCCAAACCCAATTTTATTGGATGGCTCCGAGGCTATCGCCTCTCCTTTTGCTTCCCCGCCCCCCTCCCATTCCTTTCCCCCAATCCCAGCTCCCCCCATTCCCATTTAACTCTGTACACTCTTATCGCAATTATTTTATAACAATTAAAAGAAAAGAAAAAAAAATTATATATGTATTTGTACATACATATATATATTTATATATTTTAATCATAGTAAGTTATACTGAACATAGTCAGTTGCCAACGTGAAAAAAAAAGCAACATTATTAGAGAATGCACCCCTTTTTAGTCCTTTTTGGGGCTTTAAAAAAAAAATGGGCGCAGAAAATGCAGTACTGTATAAAGGAGGGACCTTCGACAACCCATAAGTAAAGGGACGGTTAAATTGTGTCACACTGTACAAGTCACCATGCAGAATTGGCGGTCAATCAGTGTCTCCTGGTGTCAACCTGGGAAGAAAAAAAAGCAGCAATTTTAAATGAGGAATTTGTGGGTCTTGCCAGTTTTAAAGACCAGTCAGCTCGAACTGTAAAAACCATCCTGTCTCGTTTTTTTTAAGGTGCACTGAGAAGCAATCAAGCGGTCAGTTTTTGGCCAGTACCCGGGTAAGGTCTGAGAAGTCGGTCTTTGGGAGAACCTTTGGCCTTATGGATTTTGGACTCTGAGTCAGAAGAGCCTGCCGTTTCAGATGCAATCACTTTTGGACATGTTTTTGCAGACAGTCCTTAATGCTGAAAAAAAAAAATATAAAAAAAAAACCAGAATGGGGATAATTCAAGCGGCCTTTCTTTAAAAAAAACAAAACAAAAAAAAAAAAGACTTTCGTGACCCACTAATTGTAGAGTTTTCCAAGGTCACTTTGCGTGTGTCATAAAGCTGACTTCCTTAATGGTTGAAGGTCACAGAAGTAGTGGTTTGCGTTTTTGATGGTAATAACTACACCTGTGTCCCTTCTTGGTTTTATTTTATTTTTATTTTTTTTAATCCCCGTTTTATTTTTAAATACTTTTGGATTCTTTTGTTTTTCTCTCGGCATGTGTGTTCTCTCCACCATCACTTCTGCACAAAGATGTCTCTGTTCATTTTGAACGTTAAGGACAGAAATAACAAAAGAAAAAAAAAATTGCAGAATTTTTATGTGACTGCTTTTATTTTTTATTTTATTTTTTTGCCTCACAATTATGCTGTGAATTATACAATTTTTTTTTATTTTTTTTGGGATAATTTATTGTACCAAAGCTGTTTTTATAGCACATAGATGTCTGTAACCAATAATGTAGCAGTACTGCACAAGGTGTAACTAGAACTTTTTTTATATATATATATACATATCACTTGGCAGTTATGGCTGTATTATAGCTTAATCAAAACTGGAGCAGATGTTTAAAAATATTAGCGAAATAATTTCAAGTAACTTTTTTTTTTTAGTCCTGAACATGAAAATATGACATCATAATAGCAACCGCACAAATCATTTTAAACATTAGAGTAATTTAGAGGTATTCTAAGGTTTATGTGAGACATATGTCAGGACAGGACGATTCTCAGGAGCCATATTGTCAGTGCATTTAAAAAAAAAAACCTGGCACCTCAATTTTCTGAGCCCTTTCGGTTACCTGAAGTTGGTGTAAGCTGTGGTTACTTGTGGCTAAGTTACAGGCTCTGTACTCATTACTGTAATACAGTCGTGCATCAAAGAACCCTGGAGAGTCAGACTGCCGCTCTCGCACACAAGTGGCAGCCAATGTCTCCAGCAGTCTGACACGCCCCTCCGCACCAATCAACAGTGGTCTTGCTTCCTGAGCAGCACATTTTGATTGGAGCAGTTTACGGGGGGCGATGTTGAACGGCTGGAGGCCCGGGTTCCTGTTTGTGAAGACAGCGGTCTGAGAGGCTGCTCCGCACCCTGCTCCAATCAACGGTGGTCTTGCTCCGTCAGCAGCACCCTTTGATTGGAACAGTTTACATGGCGGCGTTGTTGAACGGCTGGAGGCCCGGGTTGCTGTTTGGGAAGACAGCGGTCTGACTCTCCGGCGTGCTGCTAGCACAGCATCATTTTAACCCTTGCTTCAGCACCTAGTATGTCAAAATACACAGAGAAAAGAATATGTATTCCTTTGTATGCATTCTGACACGCCCCTCCACACCCTGCTCCAATCAACAGTGGTCTTGCTCCCTCGGTAGCACGTTTCGATTGGAGCAGTTTACAGGGTGCGATGTTGAACGGCTGGAGGCCCGGGTTGCTGTTTGAGAAGACCGCGGTCTGACTGTCCGGCGTGCTGCTAGCACAGCATCATTTTAACCCTTGCTCCAGCACCTAGTATGTCAAAATACACAAAAGAATATGTATTCATTTGTATGCAGTCTGACTTTATGACATTATACATATGTTACATATGTTCCGTTGGGCTGGCTGCTAACGTTCACTGACTGGCTCCTGCAGTTTAAATAAATGTGTCCTCCCATGCTGTAAGTGGCAAAATAGCTTCTGCTTTACACTATTTCCTGTATATTGGCAAGACGGGAAACCATGAGCAAATGGAAATTCGTGCATTCCTGTTGTGTCCAAATCTGGACATTAAAGTGTATGTCCAAGCATTGCCCACGTCTACCCCCCCAAACCTTCCA